ACATAAATAAATAAGACTTTTAATTAATGTTACTATTTTTTTATAGTCATTAGATTTTAATTTGGTGTAGGGACAAAATGTAGATGTTTATTCCATATTACTAAATATAAAATTTATTTTGTAAATGATAAATTTTAAATGATTCATATATTCACATATTTTCACATTTGTTATGAGTTTTCTTTTTTAAAAAAAGAACTCGGAATCATTTTAAAATAATATATTTTGAAGTTAGAAGATCTTGTTAACTTGATAATACATTAGTGACATATATAATACTTTAATTTAAATACAAATACCTACCCAAATATAAATATATATTTACATTATTGAAAATATTTATCTCATAAGAATTAGCTATTAAACAAATAATAAAAGTTAAACTGATACAAACTTCAATTGGCGTTATTACAAGTCATATGAACTTTTCTTCGTCTAAAATACTTAAATATTAAGAAATAGTAAATAAGTAAAACAAAAGGGCAATGTTCATATAGCAATAACTATTTTGAAGCAAACTTCCTGACAATCTAAATCACACAAGTAGCATTGATAAATAAAGTCATTCTTTTGTCTTAAGCATCAAAAAAACAAATCATGACAATTCTCTAAATTTTGGAAAAAGATATTCAGGAGCATATATCTACATCACAAGAGAAATTGTTAACAAAAAACAAATGAATTTAGACTACATCATGTTAACTTCATATATTGGAGCATTACAAACTAATTTGTATATTAAGCAAAAAAATAATTATTCTATCATCAAATAGAGGTTGTATAATAATATGAAAAATTATTGGTCAAAAGTTAATATAAGGAAAGATGAAAGATAGAAATAATTTATGTCATAACTATGAGAATTCATAAAACATACTATAACTAAAGAATGTAAAAGTGTATGAATAATGTCTGCAATAATTAGTAATAACGAAGAGAATTTATAATTTTATAAATAAAGAATTAATGTGCAATAGCTAAATTTCTAATAAATTTTATACTTACATAAATAAATAAATAAATAAATAGGACTTTTAATTAATGTTACTATTTTTTATATAGTTATTAGATTTTAATTTAGTGTAGGGACAAAATGAAAATGTTTATTCTATATTACTGAATATAAAATGTATTTTGTAAATGATGAATTTAAATGATTCAAAATGCTTATATATATTCACATATTTTCACATATGTTGTGAGTTTTTTTTTATAAAAAAAAGAAGAACTCGGAAAATTTTAAAACAATATATTTTGAAGTTAGAAGATCTTGTTAACTTGATAATACATTCATGACATATATAATACTTTAATTTAAATACAAATAACTACCCAAACATAATATATATATTTCAGTAATGAGAATATTTATCTAATAAAAATTAGCTATTAAATAAATTATAAAAATTGAACTAATACAAACATCAACTGATATTATGACAAATCATATGAACTTTTCTTCGTCTAAAATACTGAAATATTAAGAAATAGTAATAATGAAAACAAAAGGGAAATGTTTATATAGTAATAACTATTTTGAAGCAAACTTCTTGACAATCAAAATCACATAAGTAGCATTGATATATAGTTATTACAAGTCATATGAACATTTCTTCGTCTAAAATACTGAAATATTAAGAAATAGTAATAATGAAAACAAAAGGGAAATGTTTATATAGTAATAACTATTTTGAAGCAAACTTCTTGACAATCAAAATCACATAAGTAGCATTGATATATAAAGTCATTATTTTGTCTTGAGCATCAAAAAAACAAATCGTGACAATTCTCTAACTCTTGAGAAGTTTAATAATTTTGGAAAAAGATATTCAGAAGCATATATCTACATCACAGGAGAAATTCTTAATAAAATAAATAAATTTAGACTACATCATGTCAACTTCATATAGTTGAACATTACATACTAATGTATATATTAAGGAAAAACATAATTATTATATCTTCAAAATTATTTTCATCAAGTACTCGAGGTTATAGAATATACCCTCTTAGGATGGAATGATTTACTTTATCAAAATAGTGGTACCTCATATTCCGCTAAACTTCGAACTCACTCAATGACAATAAATCGCACAATTTTTTTTAAAATGCAAGAAGAAGAGAAGAAGATTTAAAAAAAATTGTGGTTGAAAAATGAGAGGAAACCTTTCTATTTATATTCAACAAAAGGGAGTATGAACAAGTGTTTTTTGTGTCTTATCTGAAAAGTCAGGACCTTTCCAAGAAGTCACAGACCTTTGAAAAAGTCACAACTCTTTGGAAAAGTTACAACTTATCAAACAATCACATTCCTTTGAAAAAATTTACAACTTATCGGAAAAGTCACAACTCATCAAAAAAGTCACAACCTAAGTTAGGAATATTATAGTAATTTAACATTCAAATTAGGAGTTCATGTTTTTAAGGTAATATATATATATATATAAGATTCGGTTTATTTGGTTTTTCGATTATTGTTTTTCTAAATCCGAAACCAAACCAAAAAATCAAATAAAGTAAACTATTAATCCAAAACCAAACCGAAAAAACAAAAATCAATCCAAATTAGAATCCAGTTTGATTTGATTTTGTTTTTTCGGTTTAATCCAAATAATGCACATCCATGCCCTAGGTGTATAGTATAAATAGAGAGACATACATTTGTAAACCAACCAAGAAAGTGTAAGCAATCTTCTAAAGCAATACAAAAAGTCTTATTTAAAAACTCTCTTGTGTCTTTCTTCATTCTTTTAGCGATCTAAGTTTGAAAAGACTTACTTGAGCTTACAAGATCGTGAAAGAATCAAGAGTAAGTTGTAGAGTGCCACACAGAGTGTTAGTTGAATTATAAGTCTGTGACAACGTGGTATTAGAGCAAAGGTTGGTACTATGGGAAGGGAAAACGATGGAGACATCAACACTGCTAGCACCACCAACATCAAGCAGGATGGTGGAAAGAAGCACTGAAAGGAAAGGAAGCACCTTAAGAGTAACGAGGAATTGTTACTCGACCCTATACCAAGCGAAGCGCTGACATCTCACTCACTTTTGACCACTGAATCGAGTGATGATAAACATGGTGAGGATCCCATTGACATCACGCCCAAAGTAGAGTGGATCAAAAGGGTTGACACGACGAGGAAGGTTGTGGAGATCATAGGCAAATGCTTGAACGAGGTCGATAGTAAATTCAGGACTCTTGAAGATTTCGCCTTTGAGGAGAATGACAACATCCGCAAGAAATTGGAGGGGCGCAGCATGCCGAATATGAGATAAAGGAAGTCATCACTTCCTTGGAATGCCGACTCTTGGATGTGCTAAGCACGATTGAAGCCATGAGAGCCGAGATGAAATCAGTCAAAGAGGGCATTGAAGTCGGAGGACTTGAGTCGCTCAACAAAGATAGGGAGGCCAAGGTTGAGGCTCCCAAGCTACCGATATTCAAAGGCGTTCGTGATCATCCTCGTAGGGACCCACCTTCCCATGTTTTTCACCTAGTCTAGACCCTCTTTTATGGACCCCCTACTATGGAACGTAGAACCTTCAAGAAAGGTTCCGAGACTCAAAGTTTCCTAACCTCAGGATGTCTTCCTATGGCTGTCTTCTATAGATCGTAAGACCTTTTACGGCTTGTAGGTGCGTTTCTACGTTACTCACTCCTTGTTTCTACATTTATGTATGCTATGAGTCCGAATCACGATGATACCCTCTCTTCTCTTCTTGATCGAGGCTCTTCTGAAGAGATTATGAGGTAGCTGCTTGTCATCTCAGCGACCTTCTTTCTTCTACTTATGATTTTGTTCTACTCTAGAAACAATGTCATTTGAGACTTGTAGTTTCTTCACTTCTATTATAATACGTTAGTGGTTTGTACACATGACAACCGAATTTTGGTAATATTATGAATTTAATTAAGTTATCTGCATGTTTTGTTATCTTGAGATCTTATTTCCGCATTTATCTATTTAATCGGGATTTAGGTTGACTTGTCTTGGAGGGATAATGCAAGTTTCACCATGTCCATTTTTGAGTCATGACAAATTAACACTATATTTGTATATGAGAAAGTATTTATAGAATAAATATTGATGTATTCTATGAATAAACATTGCGATGATATATCAAATTATTGGTATAATGTAATGGTTTAATATGGTATACTATATGGTACCTACAATATTTAACTTCTACCATGATAATGATATACAACAACAAAACACAATATTTTGTTAAATTTGTATCAATAATACACAAAGTTCAAAAAAAGAAAATGAATCAAATACAATAAATATTATGCAGAAGAACTCTTTGCCTCACAAGTTCTTAGCTGGTGAGGTTCCTTGGGATGACGACGTGTTCATCCCTGAAGGCGTTTTGAAGGAGCTCCGCGCTATAAGTTTATACTAAATACTTGTCTCAAATTTGTGAAAACGATGTATATGTATGTGTTATTCCAATGCTTTATCTATGGAATATATGTCTTCATACATTGCTACTCATAAACTTTTATTGTCAATGAAAATGGAATCATTGTTGATAGCCTTAGTTCACAACCTTAAACCTAACGGTGGCTTCCTTAAAATCAGTTAAGTTTAACGTCTAACAAATTGGCAGCCATCAATACATTATTTCTGAAAAATCCCAAAATCGATTTCATTGTTGTTGTTCACAATCGAATAGGTATTTTTGAAACCACAGCATAGTAAGATTTAACCAATTTGAGAACACAACCGTTCAAGTGTGGCAGATGAGATTATGGGGCTTACTTAAACTTACAAGTCACTATTTGTTTTGGTGTTACATGTTAATTACATTTTATACTTGTAATTAAAATAAGTACAAGTGATTTGATTAGCGATGCTTCTTTCTATTAATTAAACAAAAAGACCAAATATTGAAAGCTACAAAAATTAAATCTATGCTTCTTTTAACTTGTCTTTGCATAACTAAAAATCTGAACCCATCTGTACAATACAACTTTAATATGAAATTATGTCTGATTGTCTTATTTGATAGGGTTTCGACATTGACGTCTATCTGGGTGAAATACCAGGCAACTAGCTATGTATATAGCTTACCTGGAAACCTAATCTAGAAGGATGTGACTTGCTGATGGATTTGGCTAACCATGCTATGCAAGAATGATGACAAAATCGATGTAATCTTATAGTATTTTCTTCATGCTTTGCAGGGTTACGAGTATGTTGAAAAAGTGAACTTTTATTATGGGTGAATGCCGTGAATTCTTTTTGACCGTTAAAGTAAAAAATCTCACCACCTTTAGTAACTTTTCAAATCCATGAGGGGCCACAGGAGGAGAATGTTGTTCGTTGAAGTATACAGTGTATTCGTAGTACCTACCACATATCAAAGTGTATGTCCCTCTCTTCCATCTTGGCAATTACATCAACGCCTTAAGAGAGAGAAAAAAACACCAAAATAAAGTTAAAACTTACCCAAAATCATCATCAAATAGATAGTAAGTAAATACTGTAAACCTCTTTTTACTTACCCCTGATTTTGGTACACAAGAAAAGACTCTTTTAAAATGATGCCTACACATACTTTGACCGGCATATATTTGAAAAGTTTCAACAACAGTAGCAAGAGTGACATTTAAGAATTTCACAGTAATGAAAAATTCAGCATATCCTGTGAGCCGAGTGTTCACTTTCTCAACATTGATGAACTTGTACTTAAAAAGCTGCAAGGCAGAGACACTATTATTAGTGTTACTTGCAGCACAGACAGACTAAAATATAGGAGGGATCGCAACAGGGTCATACTCATACATACATTGGATTCATCATGATTGTATATGTCGAGAGCAAGATCAACGAGCTCATAAATTATCATAGCCTCCTCCCCGGTGGTGGGATCGGACATATTTATCGGATATGCATCAACAAGCATAGAACAACCAGGAAAAGTATCAAGGTCCATACCCTGTCCACAACACAATTAGTAGTACATATATAATTAATTAATCATTCAGAAAAGCATATATACATACATTGGTTGTTTGAAGTTGAGCATCATAACGGCGCCAAATATCAGCAAAATGAGGGCGATGCTCCACCAAAGCCCCATCGGAGATACGGTCTGGATCGTCATCATTAGCATAATCGGAAACATCACCCTTCATTGGTATAAAACCCCTCAGGTAATCACCTCCAATGAATTTTTTAATATCCTGCTCCATCTCCATCTCCGCCCCCGTCATCATCGGGGTCGCCGTCGATTCTCCTTTTTCCTTAGACTCCGCCGTTGCACTCCTCGGAGATCCTCCCAATGATTGCAATGGCCTCGATATTTTCTAAATTGATCTACCAAACCCTAAAATTACATATAAATGTTTCTTTCCCTTTGGTTTGAGGTGAAAGATAATACTAGTTTAGATATTACGTGGTTATTAATTTATGTTAGTGAATTATATCATAAATATAATTAATTGTGATTTATATATATAATAATAAAAGGAGACTAGTTTGCAATATGGTTATGTAAACTGACAAGCTAATGAAAAATTAGTCGACAATTTAAAAAAAAAAATTATTAGATTATACATAAAAATTCATAGGTAGAAAAACTCTAAATGAACTCTTACTGTTTCAGAAATTTATATTGTAAAATAGATTTAAATACATTTAATTTAAATATGAATAAAAATATAGAAATATTAGAAATAAAAACAATAACAATAATAAACAAAAGAATAAAAAAAACAATAACCGTGAAAAGAAAGGAGAAAGATACGTAGGGAAAAAAAATTAAAATTGTTATAAACATATTTATATTATAGTGGAGTTTTTTTAGGGAGTAGTTAGGAATTCTACTTGGGGACCAAGTTAGGTTTTCCTTATAAATAAACGAGTTTTCTTCATTGTAAATCAGATATGTGAATACCTAAATATCATTCAAGAAGAATAAGAAGTCTTATCTCTTCTCTCTACTTTGTTCTTCTTCTAAATTTATATAGTTTCATAACAAAAATTAAATTTAAAAAATTAACTTAAAAATAGAGATCAACATGCAAAAGAGTTCTAAATGAATTCTTAATATTTCATTACTTATCCTTAAAATGATATAAAATAAATTTATATATACACACACTTATATTATATAGTACCTTAAAAACGTGAACTCTCTAACTTGAATATTAAATTACTATGATAACCCCAACTAAAAACAGCCCTAACTTGAATTCTAAAATACTATAATACCCCCAACTAAAAACAACTCTAACTTGAATTTTAAATTATTATAAATAGAGGGGTTTAGTGAACTCGATTTTTTATTCTTTCATCTTGGTTTATTATTAATATTATTTTTGAACATGTTTTCTTCTCTCTCTTTTTTTGTGTGTTTTATCTTTATTAGACCTATTTGATTAAATTTTGTAAAAGATTAGTTCAAAATTGTAATACTTGTAAAGTATTTATATTATTTAGCATGGTACCTACGTGTTCGAAAACTAGTATCTTTTATATATATATATGGTTGAGTAGGGGTATTGAATTGATTTCATATTTTTAAGGTAGTTGGGAGTGGTAACAAACTTCAAGTAGAATTGAAATTTTTATGATCACACACGAATTTTAAAATAAAAAGAAAAAGTATCATGAAAAACTTGATTAATCAAAATATTCATTACAATTATATTTTGCGAGATTTCATTTATTGAAACCTATTCATAATAATATCACCAGAAACAGTATTAAATATTATTTTTCTACATAAGACACAATACATCCACTCATGAAGTCATCATCCATTTGATTTCGCAATTCACTTTTGATCAATATATTTTCTTCTTTTTTTAATTCTTTTAGTATTTTTCTTTCTTTTCTATTCATTTTTTTTTTTATAAATCATAATATTCTTTATTTTTTTACCATAATTTAATTTTATATATACTGTTAAGATATCATTGACCATTGGTTCAATTTTTTAGTGAGACCACCATGATACCATCACAATATATATACATATACATATTGTCATGGTATCGTTGATGCATGCTTCAATCATTCAGTCCTTTAGTGAAACATCCATGATATCATCATACTATATCTATTTAATATCATGACATCATTTATGTTTTCTTCAATCCTTCAGTGAAACCTCCATGATACCATCACAATATATCTATATATTGACATGATATAATTACTGTTTGCTTCAGTCTGTAATAATATCATCACATTATCTATATATTGTCATGAGATTATTGATGTTTGCTTCAATCATTTTGTCCTTCAATGATGTCATCACATTATATATCACTACAAAAAAAAGCTCAATTTATGGGGGTTATTTTATCAATTTATGGCGGTTTTGGGATCCCACAAATTAAATTGTGGCGATTTCTAAAAACGCTACAATTACCCTTGCCACGAGCATATTTGCAGCGGTTTTAGTAAACCTCCACGACGCTCCCCGCAAAATGACTTTTAATTTGAGGAGGTTTTTCAGTATCATTTTGTGACAGTTTAGAACCTTCACAGTATGATCTCAATATTTTAAAAATTAAATTTGTGTGGATTTAAATTTGTCATGACATGAGATTAATATTTAAATATATAATTTGATTTGTGAAATCTTACAAATTTATTATTATTATTATTATATTATTATTATTTTAACTATAAATATGGAATTTGATTTTCATCAGGTCTTCAAAAGAATGAATAATTTTTGTAAATAACACATTTAAAGCAAATCAAATTTCATTAAATAAATTTGTATTAATAAGTTTCAAAAATTCAAATTATATCAAATAAAAATAATCCAAACTTTTGTATAACAACTTCAACATTACAATTTTAAATCCTTTAAAATCTACATCAAAATAAATATCGAAATATTCTATAGCATGCATTTATTTGGTGATTTAAGTTATTGCCATCCAATATTTTTATCCAAAGTGAAATAAGCTCAATCTCCGCATCTGAAACAATGAAAACATTATACATAATTAGATAAACATATATTGATACATATATCTTCGTACATGATAAAAAAAATCAATTCATTTCAAATAATAATAATAATAATAATAATAATGTATCAAAGCCTAGGAACTTTCATGGTATATATATAATTGATGTGAAGAATTTTCGGCATTAGATATATTCTCTCTTTTATGGATCAAGAAGATATTAAAAAGTACTCGGTTAGAAGAGGTAGATATACCTCAAAACCTTGATTTGTTAAACAAATGGACTATTCCGAAAGTGAATATAAAAACTATTTATGATTATGGTTGGTTTGATAAAATCTCAAATAAACAGTTGATTAAAACAACTGAGCAATCTTTGGCGTTAAACTCGTCTGAACAAACTATTCGTTTATTAAATAAGCGAGATATTGATTTATATAGATCTCAATATAAGTTTTTGCATATTGGCATGGTTCAAATTGCTTTTAAACCCTATAGTGATTTTACTTATGGAAAGCTTATTGGTGCTTGCACGCAAGAAGGCATAAATTTGTGCAATGAGTTAAAACTCTCAAGACAGCTTAAGATGGATAAGCTTAGAGAAAAGTCTCAATTAGGAGATTTTTGTACTCAATTCGGTTTACCAGATGCTTCTAAAAGCACCAACCGAGAAACTTCTAAATTAGAATCTCATAGATCTCATCATAAGAAAAGAAGATCTAGAAGGACTAGAGCAGAAAGAGATGAGCGTAGGGCTCATCGTAAATCTCGTAGATTTACCAAGAATAGGTCAAGGCGAGATCTTGATAAGATTAAGTGTTATAAATGTGGAAAAATTGGGCATATAGCTCCAAATTGTAAGCTAGAAAAGCTTAAGACTCTAGAACTTGATGATGATATTCAAGAGAAGATTTATAGTTTTCTATATACTCCTGGTTCCGAATCAGATTATGATGATTCTGAAGCAAGTTATGCAACAGAGGAGGAGCAACCTGAGTCATCTAATAAGGTTCAACAAGATTTGAATGATGCTTGCAAATGTCATGGTGATATTTCTCATTGTGAACATGATGAATTCTACAAGCTGCAATCTCAGTTCGAAGACATGAATATGTTCACTATCACTGCAGACAATGTGATAGAACTTCTAAAAGAAGTTACCGATAATACTCTTCGTGAAAAGATCATTCAATTGGCTGCTAGTAAAACTAGCTCTTCAACTAGTATTCCTAATGATAAAA